ATAACTTTACAAGAAAGATTCTTGAGTGGTCCCCTTCCAACGTTGTTCAAATCCTTCCGTTCTGTTCCATAAGTTGGTCACGGGGCCAGGAAATGAGTTTCAAAGAGTTTCTTCTCTGACAGTACGAGGCCCAGGGGTTTGATATTTGATATTTTATATCATCTTAGGTCCTCTCTCAAAGTTTTACTGTAGTGTCAAAATTGGCCCCGCCCCGGTTGTCATAGGTTTACATTAAAAATCTTCTTGTCTGAAGGAACAAGGTTCACAGCTTTTAACTTTTGTATATATTTTTTTTTATAGAAGATTGTCTACCACATTTATTCAAATTATAGCCCTGTTTTCCCGGGGATCATACGTTTTACTTACTTTATAAATACATAAAAAACTTAAAAATCTCTCGTCTAAAGGTACAAGACTTAGAGTTTAGATATTATGTATATATTATCATCTATAAGTCCTCTACCAAAGTTTTTCAAATGTTGGCCCTAGTGTCAAAATTGGCCCGGCTCCGGAGCGTCAGATGTTTTCTTTATAACTATGAATATATAGTAGAAATATGAAAAAATTCTCCTCTGAATTCCCAAAAGCTTAAGGTTTAACATTTTGCTTGAAACATTATGTAGAGGACATCTACCAAGATTATTCAAATCATAACTCTTTGATCAAAATTGGCCCCGCCCAAGGTGTCATAGGCTTTTTTTTATATGTATATAGTAAAGACTTAAAACATCTTCTTTTAAATCTAATACAGTTGTACATTGCCCCCTTGTTAATACAGGCACCGTGTAACTGTAACAAAAAATGGTTTAAGCGCAACTTCACGGCCTTTGGATGATACAATGCCTGATATAGGAAGAACAAGACAAATAGATAGTGTAGATGGTATCCAGTCGACTATGAGGAAGCATCGTAAAAGTGACGAATTTAGATTGGGAGTGCAAAATGAAGCGCGTAGGGCAAAAGATAAATATATTAAAGAACCTCTCCCAACAGTAAAGAGAAGGAGGTTAAACCTAGAAGCAGGAAGATCAGAGCTTGCAACTAGATTACAGGATATTAATCCTTTAACTAGGCAATACTTTCATGAGTAAGTAATGTGTTTATTATTGATTAATAGGTTTAATAAATATACTGTACTTAAGGTAGTACACTCCTAATGCACTATCTCCACTTTGAAGAGTATTCAAATAGGCTAGAGTCACTGTAAAGTGTATAGAAACTGAGGGGCGTGTGTTTTTCAAAACTGAATACATTTTACTTTACGACAAAGTGTATTTGTGACGATATTAACACTTACTGATAAACCATTCTTTTCACCCGCATTCAAATATTGTCTTGCTACTGTGCAACTTCAATGTGAAATTATCAAATATAGTTTCACTGTCTACTGAAAAGCGTGTGATAGTAATATTGTCTTCTGTTGCAGTAATTTTGATGACAGCGGACCTCGGATTAAACAGATGGACGAGGTTGACGAAATCTATGACCGAATAGGATCTAAAGGTCAATAAAGCATGTTTTTTTCTCTTGATTTGTGTATTATGTTGTGGTTTGGCAACGCGATAACTGGCTTTATTTTCATCTACAAAAACCGCTATTTTTTTGGTAATGCTTTGCAATTAATTGCAAGAAAATTTGTGTATGTATACATGAAGAGAATCACTGTATTCTATTCTATTCTGTTCAACAGAAAGACAAAGTATGACTGTAATTCTGTTATTAAACTAATGACTTGAAAATCGTTATCAAGATCAGGAATGCAATTTTTTTAGTATGTCAATAAAATTATCAAGATAAAGTAGAGATTCAACTCACATTTTGAATGGAAATTATGGAACCCCATAGCTGTCTCATGTTCTTACGTTTTGTTTTATTTTTTTCCTAGAAAGCGTCTTATTGTGTATAAAAGAAGTGTTAATTTGCTAACGTGTTATGTGAACCTGTCTTAGCAAAGTCTTATTAGGTCAAATATTTATGTTATCTTGTCAAAATGTGGTGCTCACTTGTCTAAACAATGATTTATTGTTTCAAATCAGCATGTGGTCATGTCCAAATTCGGTGTTAACATGTCTAATTGAAGTCTTGATATGTCTAACATGCACGCCATATTTTTGAATTTTGATTTTAACTTGTCTTGTCTTTTCAACCAGTCTTGTTTAAATATGATGTTGAATATCTGAACACTTCTTAATTTGGCAAACACTGGAGTCTTCTTGTCCAAATAAGAGTCTTGTTTCTTTAAACCTGTTGTATTATATCATATTGTCATTTTGTCTTGTCCAAATGTGGTATTGACTTGTCTAAACACTATCTCATTTTGTCAGACTACCATGTAATTGTGTTCATATTCGATGTTATCTTGCCTAATAACTGTCTTTATTTGTTCAAGCAGCATGTTGTCTTGTCCTCATCTGGTGGTAAATTGTCTAGAAATTGTCTTTTTATGTGAAACAGTAGTTTAATCTTGTGGGAACTTGGTTTCAACTTGTCAAATTCATGTATTTTTATGTCGACACGAGTGATAAACTTTATATTAACTTTTCTGACTATTGTCCTGTTTTACCAAGCTGTTATGTTGCTTTGTATGATTTGGTGTTTTTCTGTCTTATTTTGCCCCAAAATCATGCTAACTTTGTTGTTTTATTTTCTAAAAAAAAATACTTATTATGTGAAATACTAAATCATGTTTGTACGTTGTTGTCGAAAGGTGGAATTGACATGTCCAAACATTGCCTTATTTATTCAGATTGCCAGACTATTTTGTCCTAATTTTATGTTTACTTGTCTAACCACTGTCTTATTATATTAAATAGTGGTGGTATCTTGACAAATTATGGTTATTTATTGTAAAAACAATATTTTAATACGTCAAGTCGTAACGCTCTTTTGTTCAAATGCAGATTAAACCTAGTCTAGATTCGCCTTATTATTTAATATTATCTTGTCAAAACGTGGTGATGACTTGTCTAAATTGACTTGCCAATTTATTTCGTTAACTTGTCTTAATACTGTCTTGCTATGCCAAACAATAATGTTTATTGTCAAAACACGATAGTGACTTGTCTAAAAATCCTCATATTTTGCCAAAATGTCCTGATATTTAATCCAAATTCGTCGTTGTTTTGCCTTAACATGAGATTATTGAATCAAAATGTCATGCATCTTGTGCAAATGTGGTGTTAACTTGTCAGATTTTGCAACACGTGTTGACATATACTAACAATGTCTAATTATGTCCGACAATCCGGATTTTGTCCAGATGCGATGTTGTCCAAATTTAGTGTCACATGACCAGAGCCCGCGCGAAAAGAGATGGCTGAGCGTGGAATTTGCTGCGTAATATAGTATTTGAAAACATAACTCTATGAAATAATTAAACAATGTTAGGACAAGTCAACATCACACTTTGAAGTGATAAGACTACTGTTACACATAATAAATAAGCAATGTTGACACAAGTCAACAAAATATTATGGCAACACAACACTAATATTTGACATAATAATGCGCTTTTCGGGGAAGACGAAAAGAAATGTAACAACACGAGGCAGATATGGCGTTCCATAGAAAAAAAATAAATGCAACACTGATCTTGTCGTTATAGGAAAAGTGGGCCGTCAACTTAGCAAAAGACTTAAATATTTTGTAAAATCTGCGCAGAGAAAGAACCCAGATGGCACTGAACGTGCAAATGGAACAAGAGAACATCGTGTCGATTTATAAGAAGACCAGCATCTATGGTATACATTCCATTAATATGGAAATAAAAATACGTTTATCTAGTTTTTCACTTTGCATCGTATGTAAAGACGTTCTGTATCTAAATACTTTTTTGTATTTATATAGTACAAAGCATTTGTTGAATGAGTATTATAAGGAAATAATTTTTACCAATATGCTACATGATACTTTGAAACCCTATCGATATCTTATTATGAAATTTATTACATAAACCACCGCGCTGGAGTTTAATAAAACCATCAACAATTAATATTTAACTAGTGAAATTATACTAGTGTAATATCTACATATAGTTACGTCACTTGCGAAAAGCAAAGATTGTTTAAAAGTGCGCTAATGTAAGCATCAGACTATAGACGCGTCAGTGAAAAATAACTATTTACACGACTAATGGGATATCATATTCGAGTAGATTTGATACTAAATTTATTAAACAACACAATAATATTCTTGTCAGAGGCTAGTATGATATTATTTTATTCAACTCGTTTAATATATCAAGTATCAAACCTACACTCATTCAATAACCTCACTGTCGGAAAGTGATAGAACAAATCAACCGTTGATATCCAGGTTCTTGGAATATGAGCGCTTTGGTCATTTAGTAAAGTTTGCATGTAAAACATAAATTAAAGTGTTTTTGTTTTCGTTTGTTTTAGTTCTATGCCGATGATGTTTCTTTAGAGAAATTCAAAGACATCATAAATCCAATGATTTGACATTTTTGTTAGAATTTGGTTATCTGTATGGATTAAAACGTATTTCGTCATATTTAGTGATGTCTTAAAACATTTCACTTGATATTTTACTACCTTTATGGACTATGACAATTTCTATTATTTACTTCAAATATGGATATCAATAGAGAACACTATTTGTATTCAATAAAATTGTTGCTATAGTGTATCAAAATCAATTTACACTCTACAGTTTGTGATTAAATATCATTATAAAGGTGTATAAGTTAAACTGTAATATGCGAAATAAATCATTTGTATTTCAATATTTTCATGTAAAATCTGAAAGTAATCATCATCAATCAAAATGTAATCATAATTACAGACTGAATTTAAGCTGTAATTGATTAATTACAATTAATGTAATCAATTTTGAGCAAGGTAATCAATTACATGATGATAACTGTGTAATCATGTAATCAATTAAAAAATCGATGATTACGATTAGTGATTACCTCAGGTCTGCCCCCAAAACAGAAGGGGGCATATCCCCCTTCTGGCAACCACCTGATTATCTTTTGGTTTGGGGCCGCGCCGAAAAAAGTGGTCAATTTCTTTAACAACATTTCATCTCAAACGAAAACATGTGTTTTGGGCCCAAACAGGACATTTTTCACTATTTGAGTCCAAATTAAAGGGGAATCGAAAGTGCGTTGTTTCGCGTATATATGAGGTAAAGGGTCATTGGCTCCAGTAATTTACAACTATTTATTCTGAACAATGTAACCATGTCTTAATAACTCCAGTAATATACAACTATTTATTCTGGGCAATGCAACCTTGTCTTAATAGCTCCAGTAATTTACAACTATTTATTCTGAACAATGTAACCATGTCTTAATAGCTCCAGTAATATACAACTATTTATTCTGGGCAATGTAACCTTGTCTTAATGGCTCCAGTAATTTACAACTATTTATTCTGAACAATGTAACCATGTCTTAATAGCTCCAGTAATATACAACTATTTATTCTGGGCAATGCAACCTTGTCTTAATGGCTCCAGTAATTTACAACTATTTATTCTGAACAATGTAACCATGTCTTAATAGCTCCAGTAATATACAACTATTTATTCTGGGCAATGTAACCTTGTCTTAATGGCTCCAGTAATTTACTATTTATTCTGAACAATGTAACCATGTCTTAATAGCTCCAGTAATTTACAACTATTTATTCTGGGCAATGCAACCTTGTCTTAATGGCTCCAGTAACTTACAAGGGTATTTAGTTACTGTATTATTTTTGTTTACAGCTATTGAAGAAACAACACAAAATACCGCATTTTAAAAGAAGTAAAAAGATATCTACTTCAGATGAACAATTTGAGTATACCAAGATGATCTGCAGTGTTTTTAAAATTGGAATAAACATGACATTTTTTATTATTTCAAAGTACCATAAAATACAGATATATAGACAAAGCAAACTACATATTAATGGTAATCAAAAAACGTACTCTGAATCAAAAATAGTCTTGACTCATTGATTTAGGATAAATTTTCTTTACTAATGTTTCTTTTAATTAAAATATAGATTTTATTGCATTGGCATCAACTGCACCTTGGACAATCACCACATTTTATAAGCTTGTATATATGTTGTTAATCTCTGGGACCAAATCTTATCGACAAATGGTTGACTGAACATTTGAATAAACTGTTTTTAAATCATTAATTTTTGATAAGATTTTATGTTATCATATATATTTATTTGCAGTGGAAAAAAATCAAAGCATATTTGTTTCTTATCTTATACGTGTACTTGTTCTTTTTTTAAACTTGTTTTTCCTTTTAATTTTACATAGTGTATAGCTATATTGCAATGTTGTTTTTATTTGATATGATTATCTAATAATATTAATTTATTTGTTTTACTTGATATATGTAAATCATGTTATATATATATTTTGAAGTGATGTCTCAAAACTTGGATTTTTAAATCCAATTGCAAATTCATCTCGACGATCTGCATACGAAAAAAAATCATATTGATGGATATACTAAAGAAACTAACAAAACAAAGAAAACAGAATTGTTCGTTCTTTTCAGCTATCATATTTATTTCCTATCTATTGTATATCTCATTAATTTATAAGTTTTATTTTAATTTGCACGAGTTGCAGGCTTTTATTTGATCAATCATAGCACTTAGTGTTTGCTGTTTTATTATGGCACGGATTTGTATAATCAATAAATCAATAAATTTAGTTTTGTTCAGATCCGTTTGTTTTTCATTTGTAATAAAATATTCAGAGAAATTTGTTAGAGATACAGACATTAGCGTCAAACTATTGCCATTCCCTCATGCTCTTTACAATTTACCTTGAAGAGACGACTTTTGAATACATTCACATGCCGGAGCGTCGGTGGTTCTACTCGGGTATTCTTTCGTGCATGAAATAATGCACGGGTGGCATCAGAGGTCTTCCTCCACCAGTTAAGCTGAAAAGTTGCCATTTGAACTTAATAATGCTGGTCGCCGACCCAGGCCATCAAAAGAATTACGTGCCACAACAAAGTTCAGCTAAAATTGCTCTATACTGATATCTTATTTGGTATCACATATGACATGAATCAATAAAAAAGTTACAAACTTAACTTCTTAATTGTTACAGTGATTTACAGGCGTGCACATATAAATAAGTCTTACGATATACACATTGCAAGAGTTATATGTGCACATTTACTATATTGATAGTTGCAAAATGATAATAGATTTTGTTGAACATTGCGGCTATTTTTAATAGTTACACATTGTCATGGGCCTCACATTGAAAAAAAACTCTCACACTCTGTTGCAGATATTTTTCATATGTCAAAAAACGTAAAATCTATTTAAGTACATACTGAATTGATCTGTGGCCGTCACGCTAAGTCTAAGAGCCAGATCAAATGACCATGTATATAGACCTACTACGGAATAAATTATAAAGTTACCTCAGCTAATTTCGGGGGTACTTGTTTCAAAAGCGTTAGGTACCGCTAACTAAGAAGAGAACACACCGTTTAATATTATTTTGAGCTTTTCGAAACATACGATATCATTATTCAAATATTTGCCTCCAACATGTGTGTATATTCTATTTATTTCTTTGGGCAAATTTTGAATTACAATTACTTACATTCAAGTGGAATAGAACTTTTTATACTCACGATTTGTACAGTTTCGTAAAAGTGAGTGGCACATGCGAGATATCTTAGCAAAACATACTTCAAATGACATATCGTATTAGAGGAGAGCTCTTTATTTCATGCTTTCCAGTGTTTTATTACAATATATCAGATGATTATATTCTGATAAACCACTAGTGAAATTTATAAAATATAATTTTCAATGTAGCCGGACTATATCTGAATGCGGATGAAAAGAAAATCATAACCAAATGGAATAACAGGCAGAAATAAATGCCGTCATACGTTAATTTGCTTATTTATGAAAAGAAAGTCAATCTCATCATTTATCATGTCAAAAATTTAACAAAATTAGAGAAATTTAGCAGAACTATATTTCAAAACTTATGAAGTGACGTCATGATAATGACGTCACAAAGGAAAATGCGCGACGTTACGCGGCAAAATCAGTAAAAAAATACTTAAAATCACTTAAAAAGCATAAAATAAAAAGAAAATTTATTTGTTTTACATATAAGATTGAAATATATTTCATTCGTGAACACCAGCTATTATATTTTCACTCGTGGCTACGCCACTCGTGAAAATATTGCATCTGGTGTTCACTCAGTGAAATTATATTTCAATCTTACATGCAAAAAAAACAAATATCCTCTATTTATTCTGTTTACTAGTAATCACAACATTCGTGTTAGATAAAAACAAACAAAAAAAACTCTTCTTTAAACAAAATTTTATAACGGTATAGAAACATTGAAATTGGATAAACTTTTAAAACGTCCAAACAATGCTCACTTAAATGATTATTATCAACGATAAAATCAGTTATAAAATGCCCGCAGTAACAGTTTGACTACGATAGTGAGTTGGTAACAAAATAATAACGAAAAAAATCTTCATTTTCATATTTTCTGTATTTACTGTAACAAAATGTAAAACAAACAAATCATCAAATCACAATTTTTGGATTTATAATTCTGTACTGTCCAGGGTTGACTATTTGGACAATATTAATACACTTTAAACATAAATAATACATACATCGGTAAAGAACAGTAAAATTATGTTGTTTTCAAAATGTTATGGTAGGTTCTCGAAAAAGTTGTAACATAGAATGTCTCTATCATTTAACAGACATCAATATTGTATATAAACAGAATAAAATGTTCCATGCTGCTATTTTAAGTTGGGTTTTAACTGCTAAGCAATGATTTCGTGAACGCACAATCCACTTATTAGGTAATACACAAACATATGTCTTTTATACTGGTATTCTTTTTCAAAATCAAAATAACATTTTTTGCAGCATGTTTTAGCTTTATACACTTTTGCCTTTTCAACAAAATTCTAATGATCATATTATTCCTGTATGTTTTCCTCTCTATCACTACGTCCGTTTTCTTTTTAATCGGGAAACTCTTCAGCAGGAATATATTTATTTTTTAATACATATGAAATCAGATCTTGATTTGTAAATTGCATTATTTCATTTAACGAAACCGTGGCTTTTATTTTACTTTCACTGAATTCAATTAAAGCCCTGGCCATCTGAACATCACGAAATTTCACGAAAATACGTACACTTGCCGATGAAGCAATTATTCAACGCATTGTTTTTTTTCCTCAAAAATGTTGTTTGATTTATACACACAAGAACAAATAAATAAACGGCATGATATATACTGGCATAGTAAAAGACATCTCAAGTTACGTGAGCAGTGTGCACACATTTAACCCTCAACCGTTACATTTGTCTTTGCGGAAATTGCCGACAAGGATGGTGTTGGCCTGGACACCGGTGTGGCCGTCGGAATGTCGTAATGTACTGGCGATTTCCTCATATTCTTTGATGTCTGCTTCTTTTTTAACTGTGTAACCATTTTCTTGTTTAAGTCTACAAGTGCACGGGTCATCGCATCTTGAGCCCGTTTGTCATCTGTGAATAGAAGAAAATGATTTCCTACAAAAATGTATCCGTTTTTAGACATATTTTGTATTAAAAAACGGCGCATTTTTTCCCCTTTTTTATTGGACATAAAATCGAATAAAATTAATAGTGTTACCAAAACAAAACTTACAAAATAAGAAAGGAAAGAAATAACACTATCACGGTGGACAAAATTTTAATTGAACATGTTCATAAAATACATACACTACTATCCTAGATACACCCCCTAGCACCGCCTTAACTAAAATTAATGGAGGAGGCAACCTTTAACATCCAATGTTTGTCTATGTACTTAAACGTTTTAAATCTCCAATTTCAGCAAGAATTTTACTTACTCAACAGCTTAGCACGCTCCAATGCATCCTCAAAGTGTTGATAAGCATCCTTGTATTTCATAAGGTTGACTGAAATACCAATAGCACGTGTTAGTTAAAATAACATCATTCCTAAAATGTATTTGCAGTATTCTTCCTTATTTTATTCACATAAACTACAATATTGTTTGTCTTTTTCACCATTTAACATTTAACCATTACAAACGGGAAAGTCTATATAGCAGTATACATGGATGAGTTGAAATAGATGTGAATGCTAATATGATGAAAACTACAAGAAAAGTCAAAAATATGTTGGCCATTGTAAATTTATGTCACATATCTTGATGCCAAGTAATTAAGCTTCCTTATACATTAATTCTAAAACTTTATGCATGAGTCATATACTAGTACATCAAAATATCAACATCAAAAGTTAATTTCAGACTGAAAATATTCTGACTAAATAAAGATATCAGATTAATATCATTGCAACTTCCCCCACTGTTGGCTGGTAAAGGGATAAATGCAGTTGCTAGCTATATCTGCCGTGGTCAAGAAATCTTCTGGAGTATATCATATATTGGAAGAGCATTTCTATGTAACATTAGGATTTTTGGCGCAATGTACATGTATTGTACATGTATGTATGTAGTGAAACAAATATAACACAACCGTTTCAAACACACCAATACCAGGAATAACATGAAATGGGTATACCACATCCAAAGAGAGAAATTCATAAAACAAAATATGTTTTATTTTCATTACATTTCCTTGACAACCATACCTTCGGCAACAGCAACCAGCACATTGGACTGTAGTTGTAGCCTCTGATCATTGGCTTCGAGGGCTGACCTCAGAGATTTGAGGCCAGACTCATGGGCATATTCGTATATCTTCATCATCAGGAAACAATTACCGATTTCATGAAACAACCAGGAAGTCTCCTTCGGACTTGTACATAGAGGTGCCTTCCGGTTATAGCTGTAAAGTTGATAAAATATAGTTATTATCAAATGTATGACATAGAGATTATTGGAGGTAGATGCTTATTACATATGATATTTTCTTTAAGCAATCTCATCGAGTAAAGATTTCAAAGAGTCAGATAAAATGGAACTCTTATTAATTGAATGTATGGACAACCCTTAAAGAAATCAAACAGCAAAATGATAAATTCTCCAGGTTAGATTTAATAAAGCCTGATCAGAAGGCGGTAGTGATAAATGCAAGCTACCGTCTACACCCCCTTGTACCGGTTAAAACATTTTTCAGCATTGACATATAAAACGGTGTTTAGTTTAGACCCTCGAAACAGTCGTATTAAGTAAGTCTTGCCTGCGTCACAATAGTCGAATAGAAACTATCTAAGAATAAAGTACCTACATTAAAGTCTTGTAAATTTCCACTAATAGACTTACAAGGATGCTACGTATCAGCAACCGAATGGAAGAATATAACGGCTAGTCTTGAAAGAAATGTCTTATTGAATACATTATTTTGTAATAAAAATTTTTTTTTTAAATATTTCAAGAGAAAAATAACTGAAATGATGTCTCACATATCTAGCGCTCGGTTGTATTTTCCCATCAACACATTGACACGTCCAATATTTCCTAAAGCCCTTGATTGAATTTCAGTGTTGTTGCTGCAATAAATGAATCAAAATGGAACAGATCTATGCATATTATTCGATGTTACAATATTCTTGGCTCGGCAACAATTTTTAGTTTCAACCATTATTTGTTCATCGTGTTTATAACTTTATGTAGAGATCTGCAAAATGTGATTCCTTGGAAGCTTTAATCACAACAAAATTATATGAAAATTGCAGACTCGGTTTGATTAAGTCTGTACGTGAGGGTAATGAAAAAGTGCACCATCCCTCACGCCCCATAGCACCCGCTTTGTAAGTTGATATCAATCAATATTTATCAAGTACATCTAAATCAGCATTGAGAAATTGCCATTTTTCTTTTTTTGCTTGGTACAAGTATAGTTAAAGGCGCATTATCAGCAATATGAAAAGAAATCGGTAGAAAGAGTCAATTATGTATAACAACAAATTTAAAAAAAAATATGCAATTATTGATTATGTTTATAACTGCCTGGAAACGCCATTGATTGGTGAATGATGAATCAATTAGTTATCAATTAAAAACTGTAATACAAAAAATTATTGCTTGAATGTATACGAAACGTAACCAACCGACTACGGAAACGCTACCGATGTATTCCGGACAGACTTCGGAAATACTCAGGCGGCGGATTATTAAAACATAATCAGTGTTTTGAAAACACCCATCCGGTAGATGATTTGCCTTTTTTTAAGAAAAGTACATACCGAGTGACGGAAAAAAGAATGTGTTCATTCTATATCAAACAATCTATGAACTTTTAAATTTTTCATTATAATTTTAATAAAATATACCAGTAATGGCTTTTGGGAATAAATGGGACTTTTGTTTGTTACATTTTGTTTACAATTTTCACATTGTTCTCTCCTTTTCCACAAATTTAAATACTATTAATTGTCTAAATGCTCATTAGCATTAATCTCCGTATCACATATATTTAAAAGAATAAAAACAAACATGTATTGCAATACAAAAGAACAAACCATTGTTCACCAATCATTAAATCATGGCCGTGATTTTCGAGAGCACTTGTCAGGTTTTTGGTTTGCATGTCACAGTTTCCAAGACAGCTGTACAAAGTTGATAAGAGAATATATTTTGTTGGAATTTCTTCTTCCGTGAATCGACCTAGCACGTCGATGGCTGCATCTGCACGCTTTCTACAAAGGTCCAGTTGGCCTTTACTGTAATCTGAAATAATTGCGAGAACAAGATTAGGTGAAAAAATATTTGTGAAGCTTCAACATTAACAATAACAATGACCATTTTAATGATTTTAAATGTCTATGATAAAGCCAAGGGTTTATCATGTAAACTAGTCACAACTATAAGAATACAGAAATTGAAAGTGACGCAGACTCAGTGTGATATACATGTATATATATCTGGTTGGGTTTAACATCGAGCCAACGGTGACTTTCCAGCTTTACTGGTAGAGGAAGACCTCAGGTGCTCCTCCGTGCATTATTTACATTTGCATTAGTCACGAACGGGCATCTGAGTAGAACCACCGACGTTCCGTAAGCTAGCTGAATAGTTTCTCCTCACATGAAAGAATCCAAAGCCCCTTTCGTGGACAAGTGGTTCAAACATGCGACGGTTCCAAAACAAACTACCATATGCCAATGAAGATTATCCATGTAAAAATCAACTTTAAATTTATGTTAGCCTAAAACAATACATTTAACCTTTAACCGTCTGGCAACAAATCTAATAAACATTTGCTATACTGCTGGTAAACCAATTTTTGTGTTTTGTTATATTAAAATCCCTTAAACCTTTAATTGACTGTTCTAAAATCAAAGCAGGACAAATCTATAACAAAATTCCAGCAGGTTATTTGGTTAAATTAAAAACAACAACATTGCATTGAAATGCCTTACATTTATCAATTTGGACAATTTCTTTTTCTATGAACGCTGTTGTTTCCTCTCCGCGTTTTACAGCCTCGTCTCGGTTTCTACGGCGTTCTTCTTCGGAATCTTTCTTTTGGTCAATTTCTTCGGCAATCATCGTCATTTCTCGTAATTCTTCGTCACGACGGTATGATGCAAAATCAAATTTGACTTTTTCAGGTTTTGGTGGTTGTGGTTTTTCCTTTTTCCTGCCATATGCATACCTAGATCTATAAGTTTTATTTGATGCTTTGCTATACTTTGACCCGTAGCTGTGAACTGTTGATGCTGAAAAAAAAAACATTTTTATAGCTAAATGCTTACTTGGTATTTCCAAAAGTGTTTAGTCTACAAATTCATCATTTAATATCTACATTGACTTCAACCGTGAGTTCATTATAATGATTTTTCTACATATGTCAACATTAAGTATAGTGTTAGATACGATGATCACGGAAAGTTACATGTGATAAAAATTTCATCTTTCATTTCAGAATGCCATGAAATAACTGCATGGTACATCGTGAATGAATTGATACAAAAAATTAACGTGAATATGAAACTTGTCAGCATTAGGTCAATAACAACTTTCCACTGAAAAGAATGAATATAAAATAAGAGGGCGCCTACATGTATTGTATGTTCCAACAGACTGGAGAGATTCGGTACTTGTGTATGTTGACATCCGGCTTCTATTGCTCCTTAACTGGCTGTTGGATTTGCGGCTTGGATGAGGGGGTGGTAGAGGTCCAAGGCTATCCCAAAACTGTGTTCGTTCCTGTAGAAACTGCAGGCCTGTTTCAGCCACGGTGGCTACACTTCCTTCCCCGAGAGGTGTCTTTTTATTTTTGTAGGCTATCAAAGAACAACAATCAGATTGCTTTTAAACTATTTTTAAAATTATGTAAATCATATTTATAGGTTGAAGATTACATTGTACCATCATCATTAAAGTGATTTTTTAATGTATCTAAATAGGAGTCTACCATTTCACCATTTTACTATACACGTGTATCAGTTTCAACCTGATTTATTCTTTAATTGTCTAGTTGTTTTGCTTTCTTCTAGTTCTATTTAATTTGACAACTCAAAGTTTATCTTATTCCTTACCGACTTTGTATTTTTAAATAGTATTAACCTGTGCTGTCCCTATAAGTTATACGAAGCTGTATGTTCGGACAATTATTTAATAGCGTATATGTTAGGGGTTCTTACTTTCATGCCCTAGAAGGAATTCGAGGTATTCTTTATCATCATACATCTTTCCAAGTTTGTCTTTTTCTGTTGTTTCGTCAATGAGTTTATCTTCAAACGCTAGTGATTCCAAGGAACCAGCTAATAAGCCATTTAATGTAGTTGCGCGCGACTCTGTAAGGAGCACCTCGGGCTTCCGGTGGACATTTGTAAGCGGGTGTACTAATCTAGACCGGAAGTTTGCACTTGGAAGCATGGACTTTTTAACGATGTCTTTTGGTTTGCTTTTCCATTCAAACTGCTTTGGAGGTGGCTATAATAAAATAAATTTTAAAACTTACAATTATTGCTCTTGTCATTTAATTTACGGACAATGACGTGAAATAATCGACCTATGCAATATTTTAGTTTGATGATTTATAACAAAACAAATTTAAAATGTGTAATTAAGAAATAACATCGGCCTTAGAGGTGTATATCGGCTATTTAACACCGGTTTGGAGTTTTGATGCGTAGGAATTGACCACGAAGGCCGTAGGCCTGAGTGGTTAATTTTGTCGCATCAAAACGACAAAACCGGTGTTAAATAGCCGATATACACCTCTCCGGCCGATGTTATTTCGATTCTAACACGATAAAATAAGGAAAATCACTAAACTTATTTTACAAGCGGAAATAACTTCCGGTGCCGATTTTCGCATAACGCTCTTTGATTTTCGCACCCTACTGTTGCGAAGATATAGAAATTATCAAACAAAAGAAATAATAAGAAAAAAACGTTATTTTATCAAGTTTTCCACAATAAAAACTTACGTCGTATCGTGTTTACATCAGTGCCCCATTTATCATTCTTGTATGTATAAAATAACGTCAGCTTGGTTATGAATGAGTTGTTTACTTAGGATGACGTCATTTACGCTGCTTACGGATTGGCGCCGTTTTGTCAAAGTATTTATTAACTGACACGGATTAATATGTGGCGTTAGTGTATGTGAGATATTATTTCGGTATTGTATAAAAAGAAAACATTATAAGAACTGAAAATATAAATGAAAATGCTTTTTATTGTTGCTTTAAAATGCTTTGTAAACTATACAATCGAGGGTGAAAACATAACAGCGCATATATACAAGTAGTCCCAAACCGGTGTTTATTGTCAGTTTAACACCGGTTTTTTCCTTCTTTGTCTATAGTGACAAAATCACGTGAGTGTTAGAATATTCATTTGATACGTATTCTATACATAATATGCATGTCATTATTAAATGCCATAAATAAGAATAAATATAATAAACTTTAAATGGCAAGTTTGCCTAAGTTTTGAATAAGAGATTGACACAATGATGAACAGATGAACATATATTGAGAATAGTTCTGTCTAATTATATGTCATATTGTAAACGTGTTTATGTAACATATATCATTATACAATTTAACGGTGCACCAAACATCAGGGTTTTTTGCATTTATTGTACTGACATCATACTAGATTGAAAAAAATACTTATATACATACCGGTTTATGAGATGCCGTGAAGTAAGTAATATCACCAGCAGATGTCATCTTCAAACGGCGTCCTGTAAATGGTTTAATAAATGATATACGTGTACTAACTTAACAAATGACATAAAATGCATGAATTCGTATAACCTTAAATGATTTCTATGTAGGCAAATGCAAATTGGAATGCTTATACATGTTGAGAATCTTCGGGGTAAGTTTGAATTCATGTAGATTACTGATTAATACCATAGTCCGACTTCATTTTTATGAATAAATAAATAAACAATATACATATCTATAATAAGTTATTTCTTACATTTTTATAGTATTTTAAACTCACCTTTCTTAGCTGAACGTTTTTCGGCCCTGGCAAGACCAGCTTTAAATTCCTCCGATTTAGGGTAGCGTTTCAAACCCCTGTGGTAATACACTAGCGCCATCTCGTGGTTGCCAAGTTGATCTAATATGTCTGCTTTCTGTAACATAGCCTGAAAAATAGACATAAGACATATGATAAACATATTAAACTTAATGACATTTTTACGTTTAAAGAAAATGCCGCAGACTCTGTTCAGGATATAAAGGATATTGAATGAGTGTAAGTTCAATACGGAATTTATTGAACAAGTTGAATAAAATTATATCATGTGAGCCTCTGGCGAGCATGATATTATTTCATTCAACGAGTTCAATAAATTCAGTAATGAACTTACACGAATTTAATATTTTATTTATCACTGAAAAAAAGGAATCATTTTTCATTGACGCTAACATTTAGCGCGTCTTTACACTATGTTTGTATAACGGTAATATGACTTCACGTCGAAACATATTTTTACGGAGTCGCAAAATCGGAACGGGTGTGCGATAAATTTTCTTTCTTCAACTTTCCTTTCTTAACATTCGCTATCAAAATACTAAGTTTAGCCTTCATGATGATAAAAGGTGGGTGCGAGGGGTTATATAACAAACTTTGACATAATAATTATATTGTGAGATAGTATAAAAAAATATATAAAGACATAGAACCTTTTATTTTCCGCAAAGTGTCTAATAATAAAAAATTAAGAATGACGAGAACAATACATTTGTAGTAATCAACTGAAAACTCCATAATTGTAATTGTGTTCACTTAGGATATCTTGTTAACTTTGTTTTAATCCTTTATAACGGAGCGGACGAATAAAATTGATTCTATACATTCGACAGCATAAAGATAAAAATTATAAAAACGAAAAATAAGTGTAGAAAGACCTGTAAAGTAAGGTATAATAATAATAATAATAATGATAATAATGATAATAATGATAATAATAATAAAAATAATATGAATAATAATAATAATAATAATAATAATAATAAAAATAATAATAATAATATAAATAATAATGATAATAAAAAAAAATAATGATAATAATAATAATAATAATAATAATAATAATGATAATAATTATGATAATAATAATAAAACAGCAGAAGAAAACCAGGAAACGGAACATGGCGAAGTTTGTCTTAACATAACGAGTTATTTTCGGGTGCAATGTAAATATTTACAAGTCATAAAAATGATAAGTTAATAGAAATGCATTACAAAGACAGACGCTATATCATTTAAAATTTCTTTAAAAATCTGTAAAGAATAAATGTTTGAAAATACGCAATGATATTCGGGTGCAGTTAAGTTTATAAAAACGAAAGACAGTCAAAAGGAATGACCTCAATAGTATAAAATCATTGTTTACATTGAAAAGACTTTGTATATTGAAAACATGATTAACTTTTTGAAATACAATAAAACTTGTGTGTAATACCAACATGTTACCATATAACCAACATATTACCATAAGACCAACATATTACCATATATTACCATAAGACGAACATCTTACGTTAAGATCAGCATTTTATCATAAGACCAACATATTACCACAGCACCAACATGTTACCATAAGACCAACATATTACCATAAAACCAACATATTACCATAAGACCGACATGATACCATAAGACCAACATATTTCCATAAGACCAACACATTACTATAAGACCAACATATAACCATAACACCAACATATTACTATAAGACAAACATATTACCATAAAACCAACATATTACCATAAGACCAACATGATACCATAAGACCAACATATTACCATAAGACCAACACATTTACTATAAGACCAACATATTAGTATAAGACCAACATGTTACCATAAGACCAACACGTTACCATAAGACCAACATATTACCACAACACCAACATATTACCACAACACCAACATATTAATATAACACCAAAATATTACCATTAAACCAACATATAACCATAAGACCAACATATAACCGTAACACAAACATGTTACCAGAAGAAAAAAAACACGTTACCATAAGACCAACAAAGCACCATTAGACCAAAATATTACCACAACACCAACATATTACCACAACACCAACATATTAATATAACACCAAAATATTACCATAAGACTAACATATTACCACAACACCAACATATTACCATAAGACCAACATATTACCATAAGACAGTCATTTTACCATAAGACCAACATATAACCATAGCACAAACATGTTACCAGAAGAAAAAAAACACGTTACCATAACACCAACAAGGCACCATTAGACCAAAATATTACCACAACACCAACATATTACCACAACACCAACATATTATTAATATAACACCAAAATATTACCATAAGACTAACATATTATAACAACACCAACATATTACCATAAGACCAACATATTACCATAAGACCAACATTTTACCATAAGACCAACATATAACCATAGCACAAACATGTTACCAGAAGAAAAACACGTTACCATAAGACCAACATTTAACCATACGACCAACCTATTACCGTAAGACCAACATGTTACCATAAGACAAACACGTTACTATAAGACCAACATGTTACTATAATATTTACGTCTTAACATATGACCAACATATTACCATAAGACCAGTATTATACCATAAGACAAACATGTTACCATAAGACAAACACGTTACTATAAGACCAACATGTTATCATGATACTTACGTCTTAACATACGACTAACATATAACTATAAGACCAGTATTTTACCATTAGACAAACATGTTACCATAAGACTAACATGTTACCGTAAGGCCAACATGTTAATATAAGATCAACATATAAGCATAAGACCAACATATTGACACAAAAATTAGCTTGAAGTTTCAAGTGTTTACGCTATTATTTGAATAGATGACTTTTATTATTTAGATACCTTTTATAAACAAAATTGTCAGCAGTTTTCATACTCTTTGTCTGTAATTTTAACAAAGCGTTACGATTTATTGTCAAACATTTGGAAATTTTAAATTATTATATCTTGAAATCTGCGTTGAAATTGTGTCTAATTACTTCGTTCTCAATTATTTTTCACTTGCTCGATTCACTTTTGTTTGCAAATGGCAATGTGCTAAATTTAAAAATTGATTCAACAAAATGATTGAAAAGCAAATGATTACGCTTTAAAATGAAATTTTGAACTGTAAATATACTCTAAGCAGCAATTTCCTGTAAGTGAAAACTTATTTTGTGTGATATTTACGTTACTTTACGCATTTGGAATGACTTTGTTATCTAGGTATAATTGTCTACCCTTAAATGACAAATGTTCATTGTAACTAAATAATTTAACTTTTAAAATCAACAATAATTTTAAAGCTTGCTATCACTTGCAGACTCAAATATAATTCTGCTCTTTATATGCAATAATAGCCTTATTATCTGGTTTATGACACAATTTTTAATTAATCAAAATAAAGAGTTTGATACGAAACGTTCGTGATTTTATTATTATTATTATTATATATATATATTTTTTTTTTTCAAATACAGTATCTGAAAGGGTACTCTGTGCATGAAAGTCCCTAAGTACGTATGCAGAATTTGTTCCAGGAATATCTGAATAGTAAAATATCGAGGGTGTTTAGCCTCAAAGCATAGTTTGGGAAAATCACATTTAGGCTTCCAATATGGCCGCCAAAAATAAAAAAAATACCATATTATTTATTTATTTATTAATTAATTAATTTATTATTTATTTATTTATTTATTTATTTTATGAGTGTAACAAACGTTCTGATAACTGTATGCTTATTTTCAGATATCACCTAAACTTTGACGTGAAAGATAATCAAGGTGCAATGGATAGATAAAGCATGCATACGTGAAAGCATAACACATAAAAAATCCAACTCAATAACAACATAAAACAACACCAACACTGTATTATATAATAAATGAGCCGTGTCATGACAAAACCAACATAATGGGTTTGCGATCCATGCTGGTCGCAAACCCATTATGTTGGTTTTGTCGTGATGCGGCTCATATAATTTGTAGGAAAATACCTTTTCATTACATTCGGAACTTCTCGTTTGTTTAACAGGCGGCAGCGGGTTCCGTGCACGAACTGGTTTTAATTTCAACGACGCCGTTTTTAGTACGTCATTTAACATAAATGACGTTTTAAAATAATCCTCATGTAATTTGTTTGTTGCCACACTTGCCATTCTTGATGTCCTGTCTTTAAAACTGACACCACTTGTTCAAATATATGTACTTTAAGATTTATAACACATTAATCCTTGAATTCGAAAATGAAAATAACTGGTACGTTGTCTCGAATTTTAATCAAACAAGTCGTGTAACCGAAATCTGCTTATTTTAAGAGACAAAAACTGGTGTTCATTTATAAGCCGATATAAAAATAATAGCCACGATATAAGTTTCATCCATCCATACGTTCACCACGCAGCCTTATGCGAATTAACTAATGTTACACTCAAATATCAATTTGAAAATTAAAAGAAAACATTAATATTTCCTCGTTCAAAGTGCCAAATAATGAAATGCCAACCTTATTAGCAATTTTATGAATATAGAATAAAGAAATAATGCATGCACTTTTATGTCACTGTCAATCCATCAAAGTGCCTAAACCATTATATCATTTAATCACCAAAAATCGGTAGGCACGTGAATTCAATAATTGATCATTAAGTTATCGTTTGAGTGAAACCTGAATAAAACATTTTAACCACTGCACAACCCCACCACGAGAACCTATAATAACTATTGTACCTTAACATTTCAGATTTTCAATAAACTATTGATTTCAGAAAAATAGGGTTTGAAATCAATTTAAAATTTCTATTATAACTTTGATTGAAATGTAGGGAGTAATCTGGCATTGTCAGCGTCTGTTTATGTGTCAATAGTCTGAAATCTAATATCTTATTTAGATTTTGTTATTATTTTGCTTTTTTGCTAAACACTGGTTATGGTAATAGCAAATCGAGCATAAAGCTTTTAAAATATGCTTTTGTCCTACCAACCTCTGCTTTTTGACATTTTTTTTATTTTTGGTATGTTTATACCCTACCAGAATGAAGAGAAACCTACTCAAATGTTTTAAAATAATAAATTATACACTGTCGACACATACATATATAATTATGTTCTGTTAAATAAAATAATGTTCTGTTCTGTTCCTAATTAAAAGTTAATTAAGCTGTTAAGGGAAATCAATGAGGTTTTTGTTGTTGCTGTTGTTTAACATGAAGAGATCGGAAGGGGTTTTTTTTTCTTGTGAGCAAACTGTCTAATTATTCGCTCACTCCGTTTTTTCCTCCAAAATAATCTTTTTAATTGTGCAAAGTGAACGCTTTTAAACCTCGTCAGCACAGTCTGTTCGCTGTTTATTTAGAACATAGTTTGAAATTTTCCCTAAAAAGACGAATGTTTTTTTCCAAAGTGAAAGACGGACAAATTTATATACATGTATTCAGTGGGATAATCGTCAATTAATTTGAGTCATTCTCTTGCTAACATTGGATTCTTAAAGATATGGAACGGAATGTCCGTATCTACTGGAGTGAACCAGTGGCATAGGATTAGAGGGAGTGAACCAGTGGCAGAAGTTTAGTTGGAATGAACCAGTGACAGTAGATTAGTGGGAATGAACCAGTGTAAGTAAATAAGTGGGAGTGAACCACTGGCAGCAGATTGATGGGAGTGAACCAATGGTAGTAGATTAGTGGGAGTGAACCAATGGCAGTCAATAAGTTGGAGTGAACCAGTGGCAGTTAAATCAGAGGTAGTGAACCAGTGGCAATAGATTAGGGGAGTGAACCACTAGCAGTAGATTAGGGGGAGTGAACCAGTGGCAGTCAATTAGTGGGAGTGAACCAGTGGCAGTGGATTAGTGGGAGTGAGCCAGTGGCAGTAATATTAGTTGGAGTGAACCAGTGGCAGTAAATTAGAGGGAGTGAACCAGTGGCAGAAGATAAGTGGAAGTGAACGAGTGGCAGAAGATAAGCTGGAGTACACCAGTGGTAGTACATAAGTGGGAGTGAACCAGTGGTAGTAAAATTAGTGGGAGTAAACCAGTGGTAGTAGATGAGGGGAGTGAACCAGTGTTAGTAGATTAGTGGGAGTGAACCAGTGGTAGTAGATTAGTGGGAGTGAACGAGTGGCAGAAGATTAGTTGGAGTGAACCAGTGGTAGTACATTAGTGGGACTGAACCAGCGGTAGTAAAATTAGTGGGAGTAAACCAGTGGTAGTAGACGAGGGGAGTGAACCAGTGTTAGTAGATTAGTGGGAGTGAACCAGTGGTAGTAGATTAGTGGGAGTGAACGAGTGGCAGAAGATTAGTTGGAGTGAACCAGTGGTAGTACATTAGTGGGAGTGAACCAGCGGTAGTAAAATTAGTGGGAGTGAACCAGTGGTAGTAGACGAGGGGAGTGAACCAGTGGTAGTAGATTAGTGGGAGTGAACCAGTAAAAGCAGATTATTTGCCTACAATAACGCTTAACAGAGCACCTACAATGTTGACTTGCAGGTAGAAAGTGCATTATGTGATATCAAACTCTACTCAAAATATCTTTATTGCATTTCAAATTGTTTAAACAAATTCCATGATAATATCAATTTAAAAAAATAACAAAAAAAACCCTTTCCCAAAAAAGACATTAATTATACATGATAGACGTTCCGAATATTATATGATACATAATATATATGATAAATAAATCGGTAAAAGCTATTAGATTTCTAGTATAGCCACCCTAACCCATGTAAAACTATAAAGAATATTTTTACGGGTACATGTAAATTACGTTAGGTGAATTGATGTAAAATATACAAAATCTATCTGTTTACACCAATAACACATTTAAAAGGGCAGTTTTTATATAATGATTTCTTGTAACAAATGATTCGATACGTGTTTGATATAAGCGACAGAATGTCACCAAGAACATTAAAGGGGCTAAAGTTGTTACAAGTAAATCTATTCTATATCGAAATTATTATGTTATGGATAATACACCTTTCTTTATAACTTAAAATTGTAATTTTAACGATACAATTACGGTATGAACTTTATTCTTTGTATTATTTACCTAATACGAGACGTGTTTTATATTTCGAGAGGCCGATCAACAACAAACACGTTGTGCCTGCGTGAATATTTGTTACATTCAGTCAAATACGGGTTATCTTTCTTTGATTCTATTTTTCTCTAATGCTAATTGATGTAATCTATCGTTTGCTAATAAAATGTCTGAAATAAATCCCTTTAAAGTCAAATTATATCCTTTTTGGACAGCAATTAGGCGAAAAATGACGAAGTTTATCGAATCTATACGAGATATTTATCGATGTTCTAGCTCTATCCAAAAATATTAACGTGCCAATTTGGCATAAATTGCGCGGTGGTTAGTTGGGATATTTTTTAGCTACATCCGCATCATTTCTAGAAGGGAAATCCATTGGTCATTACATTAAATCAAAATCATTTAGATGTCTTTTTTATTTATTTCTAGATAATCAGACGGAATGGAACTCATGTAACCCGCTGCGTTCACATGCCGAGACACTTAAATTATTTCCTCCAAAAATTGTTGATTTATTCATGTTCGGCAGTGAAAACGGCACTGACAAAGCCAGTACAACCGACCTGCTATGACATGTTTGAAATTATTTTGTATTAGTATAATATATATGTCTCAGATAATATAACAGTTTCAAGTAAATAATAATAATGATGATGATGATGTTGAATAATCAACATATGTACCATAAGCACGCAATTTACAAAACAATTAAAACTGTAAATTCATAACAACCAGAACTTAATCTTACATCTTTGTCCATAGAGTGTATGTGTAACGCAACTTCAATATCGTCCATGGCCTTCCTTAGCTTCCGTAGTTTTGAGTGACATTTTGAACGCCCCACCAAACTTCTAATGTCGTCCGGAACATGTCGCAGTGCCTAAATATAGAAAAACTTTCCTGTTTAATTAAATATAGGCATTTAGCTGCAACCGGAACATCTCGGCTATTGTTCTTATCCGAAGTTTAATGGAAAGGGGTGATAATATTCCTACACAAATAGGATCGTAATAATTGAAAAACAGTCATGCAATTTAGTAAGATGTATTCTATCTTTTTCATACTTATATTCTGCTTGTGTAACATTAAATTTTGACTAATTATTTCACAGTAGATAATATAATGAAAATGCAAGAACAATATTTATGTCATACTACTTTCAACTACGACTTTAATTTTATATAGAAAAAAAGGAAGTAGACTATGTTTACATGTTCATGAAGCTAAACATAATTTTTACTTCATAAGCTAGTAATAAATGGAATTTTAAACAGTTACTTGTAATAATCATGTAACTACGGAAGTTTATCAGGGCCTCCACTTATCTAAACCTTTCACGTCATGTCAACTTGTCTCTTCTCGTTTTGATCAAAAACATTCCATGAAGACGTTATGATTAATACGTTATACGCAAAACATTTCATTAAGAGGTTATAATAAATATGTAATACGTAGAAGTTTTTAGTCATTGCAAAAAAACTTTGTTGAATTACGTTAGCTATTTGTCAATGCGAGAAACGTCTTTGCGTCTTACTAGATGGTTCATCAAAGTCGTGAAATCAAGAAGTTTCGACAGGATTTTTGTCGAAGAGACAAAGCTTCAAGCATATCGAGAAAAATTCAGTTGCAATGCCTAAAAGCTTTTCATCTTTTTCAGTAAATTTTATTGAGAAATGCAAAAACATCTAATCAATGCGAATAAAAATAAGTCGACTTAGCGCAAAACATCTCACCAACTGTAGGCCCTGATACGCTTCCGTATGTAACGTATTCGTTGTAAATAATCTTCCATAAAGTCTACATTAAATTAAATTAACAATAAACACCAGCAGCGGTTATAGAGATGAAAGTTTGATTGGTTTTGTACGGAAACGTTAATTAATGTCCTGACCATGATGTGAAAGTCGGCTGATTTTAATTCGAATTAATTAGACATTTTAACACACATCAACTTATTTTATTCACAAAGATTAAAAAAACCCTTCTATTTTGCAGATTTTTGTTCTCGATAAGCTTAAAGGTTTTGTCTAGGCACCTTTGTAATACAGTTGTCTTTTTGACAAGAATTCGCCTAGGCAAACAACTTCAAGCATTTTGAGAAAAGTGAAAGAATGACTAAACAATAAATAAAAATAAATTGTTCTAGTCTTTGTTAATGAAATGAATTCATTTGTATTAAAACATCTGATCAAATCGAACAAAAATCAGTCGTCTAACTACTCATGATCGCACCAAATGGAGGCCCTTTCACGTTTCCGTAGTTTTGACTTAAAAAACACTTAGTGCTTGAAGTATCTTTTAAAAATATAATATCTTTAACTTGCAATAAAACAGTGCAAAACATAAGGTAAAGCAATTAATTTTCTAGGTTGGACAATTGTTATAAATTATCCACTTTTCTGAACTTACCTCTCCGTACGCTTTAATTGCCTTTGTATATTTCTGCTTATTAAAATTTTCATCGCCCTCCTTCCGGTTTAAATCACACATCAAAATCTCCTTCCTCGTGTATTGTTCATCACTCAACATCTTCAAGTTCCTACACTTATCTTCAACTAGTAAAGGTCCATGACTCGGTCAATTATTCCGATCACAGTTATCTTTTCCTGTTTATAAAGGTGTACTACATAAATATAAATAATCTCGTTAAAATCATATCTTAACCATTTGCTAGGTAGGCGAAGAGTAACGGAGCGAGAACGGTGATATGATTTTTTATGAGATTGTAAGTATAATTTAAATAATATAAGATCACTTCTGGACAATTCTCTCCCTCTAAGAAATTTGTTTGTGTATTTTTCTCAATTCCTTTCTCTTTCTTTTCATAAAGACGTCTAAAGCGACGAGAAGTAATAATGTTTAAATAGTTATTGGCTAAAGTAACAAATAAATCCGAATTAAGGTATGACTGAATTAGCTAAACATAACAATTGATGTGTATTTCGTGAATAAATTTTTTTTTTCTACAGTGAGTATTTAACACTCGGTAAGTATTTTATACTCAAGCGCTCACAAATGAAACTCCAAATTACAAATCTATGTTTGTTTATCTTTTCCTTTCTTGGTGAAATTAGCGGCGAAGTTCATTACAGTAAAGCAAATAAAATTCAGGATTTATTAGAAAGTAAAAAAGCATGTTTTGCCTGCAATAGAAACCAAGTTTGACACGTACTACTTAAAATATATCATTTATCACTCAAGGAAATACTTAAAACTGAATTAACGTTTAAAATAAAAACTTGTACATCTAATCGACAGATAAGTGTTTTTAGTACAGAAGATTTATATGTATTGAAAAAAAAACTTGCATTTATATGTTCAATATTTACCAAGGCTGTGTCTGTTTAAATCCCAAATCTATTCAAATGTTTTTATCACAATCGAGCACGCCAGATTTCTTTTTAACTTTAACCTTATTCCATTTAATCGATCAAAATAATTCATGTTAATATATACGTAAAAATTAGATTATTAATACATAGGATTAGTGTTCTCTTTGAAAAGCGAGTAATCCATAAACAATAAATTAAACCTTTAATCTTTCAAAAAATATACAGTTTAAACTCTTGTTGATTAAAACATCAATAGGGTAGGCTTTTGAAATCCGGTTGATAACATTTCTTGTGTAGCCTTATCGCTCTTTCTTATCATACATTCGTTCAACTTTTCTCACTTTCAAATTATAATGCGCAAATTTAAAATGCAAGTTCGTTTATGACAAATGCAGAGTATACATTTGTAGATGTCGACTTAAAATTTTCCATAAGTCTGTTTCTAAGTTGCAAGCTTGTCCGTGCGGAAAAAGATATTGTTAACGGCTTAAATGAGATGAAATTCTAAATATATAGATTATGATTTAAAGTGAACGCAAATGTTATATAAGAGACGGTGTGGCGCCGTTATATGTCGCAACGCCGCTAAATGTCGCACTTACCGCTAAATGTCGCACCAATACCGCTAAATGTCGCAACTGCCGCTAAATGTCGCAAAATCATTTGCCGTTAAATGTCGCAATGTTAACGTTAAATGTCGCACGAATTTCCGCTACCGTTAAATGTCGCAACACTACCGTTAAATGTCGCAAGATATAAATTCATATTAAAATCATGATAAAAAGTAGTAGTATTTTAATTTAAAACGCTCTCATAGTTATTTTTACTGTAATTGCCATTTAACAAAAAGTATCTTTGTTTTAATTGTTTTCTTTTATGAACCTAAATATCGAGGATTTAAGCTGCTATATAATGTAATATTGACGCTAGAAAGCGTATTCTAGAAAGATACAATTGAAATTCAAGACTCAATAGATATGTATTTTTCATTTGTCTCCCTTTTTCATTTATAACCCTGATTGACAACATCTTAAAAGTATTATGATATTGTCGCGATCAGAATTCGGTTTAAGTAATTTCATTGATTTGAAGACCTTTTTTTCTTGCTAGTACTAATAGTAATACAGTCATACTAGGGCGGTTTAAGCCCCATTTACACAGTCCCGGTTTGGTGTCCCGGTTTGCCACGGTTTAGTCAACCATGATCAACCGTGGTAAACCGGCATTGGGTCGTTGAAATTCCGTGAAGTAAAGGGACAAACCATGGTGAACCGGAACAAACTGAGAGATCACCACGGTTGTCTTCAAATGTTTAATACAACTGGGGCTCACCGGCACTCACCGAGAGGAAGCCCAAATCCGTGTTCTATCGGCTTGGAACAGGGAATTGCCGGGAAACCACCGTATCTATACTGCATCCATACCGTGACAAATCGTAGTAAACCGGGATGCGTGTCAATCAATGTCCAAACGGCAAAGTCCCGGTGATGACACGATGTTGCCACGGTAAAACAGGCAGAGCTACGGTAGAGCCAGGGTACATTGAGGTCACTGGCAATATTGCTCCGGTAATGTCCCGGATATTGCAGACAAGTACGGTTATACAACGATGATAGACGGTGGTGTAACGCCTCATGCCGATACAGGAAATTTAAAGAACAGGAATATATAAAGTTGAAGTGCTACTTTGGATCATTTTGTTTAGAGAAGGAACACGAGCATGGCCAATTTGTTAAATGAGAGAAGGAAAAATTCTTCAGCTGGTGCATTTTCAGCTTCAGGTACCTCAACCTCTGAAGGTGTTGTAGACACCGTTTTTTTCTAACTTCCATCCACTTTCCTTCGGATGGCATCTCTGCTGTCTTTTTACCAAATGACTGATGTCAACGTGGTCAGTCAGTTTTATTCTCATAAACTTGAACAGGAAGCATCGGTGCATTACCAGGGCGTCAGCGGCACAGTATCACCAATAGCATTACCGTGGCAAAAACGGCGATGGTCGGGATGGACCGTGATGAAACCGTGTCTAGTCGGGTTTCCACCGGAATCAAGCGGGAATACACCGAGTTAGCATTGGCGCTTATCGTATATATCCGGTGCTATATCGGGTTCTGAACCGGGAATACACCTGGGCTCTGTCGGGGATGTGTAAACGCAATTTGATTTCTCAGAAAAACACCACGGAACACCTCGGTTCACCAGCTTAAGACACAGTAGCGATACCGTGTCCATTACCGGGACAGTGATAATTTGGGCTTTATCAAACCAAACGGAACCTGCAACATTTTCACTTTCTTTAGGGGTTCTTTTTTTTTCTCTATTTTATCAATAACTGATGTTCCTCAACACTAAGGCTCCCACGTTTACATTTTTTTGTAAACGTTTACACGGTTGCTAAGAACCGAAACGATACCGTTTAAACGATGGTACTTCTTTGTATACTACACAATGTATAAGAGTAGCTAAATGATGACTTACTTTCGAGTTTAAATACATGTACAAGTAAATCATATTCAGGACTCATCACGATTGAGTCGGCAACTATTTTCTGCAATATATCCCCCTTTCACTATTTGAAAGATCAAAGGAAATCATTTTTACCAAAAATGTATTATGTCACGAGCGATTATTGCACGACGATGCTATGTGGGGGGTTGTAAACACCAATTTTCCATTTTTTTTACTTTAGAATCAACCAACAACAACAACAACATTTTATTTTGTAGATAAAGGCCTCCGGCCCAAAATACACAATATAACCAAAACAGAAATACATATTTAGCTATGTCTACAATATACATTGTTATATACATGTATAACATGCTTTCCTATTGATATTAATTATCAACAATTTTTATAATTTCAGGAACAAAATTAATTTTCTTTATTTTTTCTTCATTTTTAGTTTTAATCAAATTACAAAAGTTATGGAATGTGTAATCATGACTGTTCTATGAAGATATATAACGTTGTCTTTGTTGGAAAAATCTATTACAAATAAAAAATATATGAAATTCATCTTCGATTAACGAATTGTTTTAATTTTGCAAACAGTGTTGGCAAATTCGCTCATACCTTGGTATATCCAAATGTCGTCCATTTTCTATATATAATCTATGACTAGAACATCTAAATCTTGATAATGATCTTTTTACATAAAATGGCATATCAATTGATAAATAGTTTTCTGGATTTAACATAGATTTGAAAAAATTATAGGTGTCACATCGGGGTGAATTCTGAATTTCTTCCATCCAATTTTGTGTTTTACAATCAATAATTCTTTGTTTAAATTGACAAATAAATAGATTGATATCCCCAATTTCTTGACTTAGCCATACAAAGTCAAACCCATAAGTATACAATAAGTTTTTTTACTGAAGTAGCCCAATTTTTCTTTCCAACATTATCTTGTCTAGTTAACATCAAATAAAAATTTCTAGGATATCTATGTTCTGGCATACAAAGAAGTTTACACCAATATTTGATAATTTTTACATGATGATCAATACATAAAAGCAGCCTTCCACATTCTCCCAGTGCAACATTATCATTAACAGAATAATTTACACCTAGAAAATCTTTACAATATTGTATTTGAACTTGTTCAAGAATTTCGGAGATTTCACTTCCATAAATTTCGGCACCATAGGTAAGTATAGGTTTTACCATAGAGTCAAATAATTTAAAATAATCAGAGTGTAAAAAACTTTCCCAAATTTCTTTGATATGATTTAATGGCATAAATAGATTTCCTAGCTTGTGCAGCAAGTTTAGTTTTTTGCTTTTGTCCAAGATAATTTAGGTGTAAATAAAAGACCCATATATTTGTACATTGGTGTGACATTTACTGAACTGCCGTTGTAAAACCATTTTTCATATGATCTGAGCGGTCCACCATTTCTAAATACAATAATTTCAGTTTTATTCTCATTTATAGAAATACCGGTATTATTACAAAAATCTGAAATTGAATTTAATTGAGACTGAAGTTCGATCGCAGTATCGGCGCAATTTGCAACATCATCAGCGAAAAGAATGCATATAATATCGGGAATTTGATCCGTAATGAATATACCACGATGTCCCTTATTACGCAGAAAGGGAGATAACTCATTTATATACAGGTTAAACATAATCGTACTTGTTACGTCCCCTTGTCTTGTACCTATGTTACATTTAAAATAGTCTGTAGTTTTT